TAGCAATGCCCATATGCACACAGGCACAGGCCACCCACTGGAGCATAGGCAACTTACCACGGGCCACACCGCCGAAGAAAACTGATTCTTCTTCCACAGCCATTACTGGCCAAAAGCTCCTGAGTTAGGGGTGGAGCTCAGGAGCCCCTCCCTATGCATGCTGGAGTGATGACTGCCTTGTTCTTGTGCAGTTCCAGCCCCCCATTTTAGTGGTCCCAGTATTGCCTGAAGATCTCTGGGACACTGGAACCACTTATTGGATCTTCTGAATTCTTCATGCACAAGCAAGGATTGAGCCCGCAGGACTGCAGAGAGCCTCCATGGGCCAGGCCTCTAGGTGGCACACATGGGCACTGCCCATGTTCCTAGCTCCATCTACTATAGGGAAATAGGGAATCAGTTTGTTCTTGAGTAGAAAATGAGTGTGGAGAGCACATGGGGTTATCCTTGCTACAAATACACGAGGAAATACACACACACAAACAATCCTGATTAAACTCTGTAGGTTATACTTACAAAGAAATGCAAGTGGGGTCTAGTTGAGAAGAAGGGGGTCAGTGGGAGCGGGGACAGGAACAAGTAACGGGGTGAATATGCTTATAGTACATTATATGCATACATGTATGGATACGTATATGAAATTTTCAAAAAGGTAATAAAATATACACATCCACTTCTCGTTTCTTCCTCATAGAACTGAAGTGATATAATCTGACGCTGGAGGGTGTTCTTACGGTTACTGTGGTATGAGACAGAGGGGAAACTGGAGTCCCAGTTTGCTCAAAACTGCACACCTGTTATCTGTGTAGGAGTGTGTGTCATTTCTGAGAAGAGGACAGCTTCTCGGGTGGGGAGGAGATGCAGGGCGTAATGAGAGCCCACCCCGAGGGTGGTGACGGGTGGTCAGGGTCTTCCTACCCAATTGCATCAGCCAGTACAAGGCAGGACTGCTGCAGCCACAAACCACCCCAGAGCCCCAGTGACCTCCAAGGGTTCATTTCTCAGGCTGCAGCCCAGTGGGAGTACGCAGTGTGCCTTTGTGCAGTTTAGCTACCCAGCAGCCCCCTCATAGGCTGCGGCTACCCTCCGAGAAGCTGTATGTATCCCTGGGCATATGTATCCCTGGGCATATGTATCCCTGGGCACTGGCTCTTCAGTGTTTCCATCCGAAGAGTCACATGTCACTTCAACTCACAAGCCATTGGTTAGAACTGGGTACGTGGCCCCACCTAACGTAAAGGGGCAGGGAGGCTTAATCCTCTGGGTCGTCAAGAGTAGAGGGGAACTGAACATTGCCTGTGCTGGTACTCAAGTAGTCAGCCCTCTGTTCCCCTAGAAGAGTGGTCTGCTGCTGTGCTGGCCTTCTCCCCTGCTGCGGCCTCTATTTAAACCCCGTTCGGATTGTCCGGTTGTTAGAAGATGGCTGCTTTTTACCACGTGTGTTGACCAGCAGTATTTCACGAAGTGACACAGGCTCGGCGACTTAAAGCAACAGAATCCATCTACTCACAGTCCCAGAGGGCAGAAGTCTTGCCCCTTCCTCCAGCTCCAAGAGAAAGCTCAGTTGCTACCGCCTGTTTCCCTGATGGTCATCTCTCTCTGCCTCTACATGTCGTATGTTCTGTATGTGTGTCCCAGTGTTCAAAATCTACCCCCTTAAGAACGCCAGTCAAGGAGGATAAGCCCCCCTCCCCCGCCCACAACCCTAGTATGATTTCATCTTAATTAACTATCTTCAGCAACCCTGCTTCCAAATAAGGGAACATTCTGTATTCCTTCGTGTTAAGACATCAGCGGAAGAGCTTCTGGAGGACACAGACCAACCCAGAGAGTTTGCTCTGTAGTTGTAGCTATGGCAAAGTGCTGTGATTCCTGTGCTTTAGTTACACCTGCTTCCAAGCTGAGGGCCAACAAGCTCATCACCCCTTCTTCTGTGTTACTGCGCTTTGCTATGTACCATTATTTCATTTGTAGCGTGTGGTACACTTTAGGGTGGGACATATTTTCATTAAAGTATGGACTCTCCATTTCTGTCCTGGAGCCTTGAATAATGCCTCACACATCATTATTTTACCCATTTTTTTTCTTTTTACTAATATAGTGAAATATTCAAGGCTGTGTACTTTATACTGAAAAAGCTTATTTAGTGACAGTTGTCTACTTTTGGTAACAGTCTTGCTGGCATACACGCTAAAAGGTAGGAATTGTACACATATGTTTCCTCAGGTCTCGGTCCCTCTTTGTGTAAAGCCACCAGGCTCTGCCCTGACAACCTTGTGTAATCTCAGTCATCCCCAAAGGCCCTACCTCTAAACACATATTCAGATTAAGTTTAAATCTTTTAATACCTAACAATGGAGATTAAATTTCCACATGCGGATCCATTTCTAAACCTTCCAGTAGTGGACCTAATGTGTGGTGGGGGTCAAAGACCAAGACTCCTCTCCATAGATGGTGTCTATTTGGATTATTGACTGACTGGGGACCACTTAGTGTCAGGGGTCACCGGGAAAACTGGTATCAGACCACCAGACACCATGGGTGGCCCAAGATTGTATTAAATTTAAACGATGCTCATAACTCACGTGAACAAAGGCAGAGGTCACAGGTTGGGTGTCTGTTTTGCTCTGTTTTTTTAAAGGCTAAATCAGAAGGATGGAATGAGATGAGGGAGATTTTGGTTGTGCAATGCCAGTACGTCTGAAGGTCTGTTTCATGACAGCATCTCAACCACAATTGGTTTTTATTAATATCATTTTGCTTCAAGCCACAAAGGAATGAAAGAACAAAGGATGAAAGATTAGTAATGAAAGACACACTTCGGTTCTGCGTAGGCACCGGAAGTGGACAGGGCCTTGCTCAGAGAGGCCGCCTGCCTGCTGGTGAGAGTTTGTTTGCTTTGGTTCCTGTTTTTCAATGATAGAAAAATTCATTTTTGTACTTTGGAAAGTTCTGAATATGCAGGGGAGAGAGGGAGGGAGAGAGAGATCTACGATTCTGATCATTTCAGAGAGAGAGAGAGCGAGAGAGATCTACGATTCAGATCACTTCATGCCTAGAAGCAATGAGATCCCTAATACAGATCAAGATGTCCTAGTCTTTTGCAACTAATCCTGAAATTGAGAAGCAGGTGTGGGTGCTGTGAGCTGTTCCTTTTACAGAGTTTTAGGAGACCTCATTAAACTAAAAGGAAATAGATAATTTTCCCCCTTATCCTGTAAAGCTGTGCATTAGTGGTGGGTTTCTTTGGTGGAGAGAACATTTTGGTAATGGTGGCTGCATCCTAATTCTTTTCTTGACTCTGTTCTTTTCCATCTGGGTCTTCCTCTCAGATAAGCCAAGGACCACCCAGGACTTACTCCATGCAGGAGGGTCTGGTAGAAAGCAGCAAGTGCAGCCCAGGCAGGCTTTGAACAATGTGTTTCAACTGTTGGTGCTCCTCCCTTCCTGGGCAGGTTCCCCTGACCTAGAACAGACTTCCAACCCAGTGGGAACACTGTTGGGCCTGAGGAACCACATTTAACTCCCAATTCTGCCTGCGATTCTCAGAGTGCAGAGTAAGGTACTTCTTGACCACGAATGTTCATCCTTCATGTTGAGGACTGTGGCAGGATTGCCTCCCAAACCCACAAACACAGCACAGTGCTAGCCAGAGCAAAAGGGCTTCCAGAGACCCCGGAAGACCAAGATTCTGACCAGAATCTCGGGTTGTTGTACGTGCTGGGTTAGAGAAACAGTTCAAGGGGTCAAAAACGCTTGCTGCTCTTCTAGGGACCCGAGTTTGGTTCCCACCACCCATATCAGGGGGCTCACACCCACGTGTAACTCCAGCTCCAGGGGATTCAGCACCCTCTTCTGATCTCTTTGGGCACCTGTACACACATGGTACATGCTCAGACACATACACATACATAAATGAAAATAAACCTTTAAAAAAGTTAGAGTACATATGGGAGCAGCATGACGGCAGACTCTCCAGTTGCCGTTCCGGCATGCTGCAGCCCCCCCTGGGCCTGGCCAGTGGCTCTCAGCCTCTAAAGGTCTGGATTTTGACATCTTTCTTTGAAGAAGGCCATGTCGCAGCTGGGGAGAACTTAGCCTCCTCCCTCCCCGTGACGTGTGCTGTGCAGGACTTCTCCTGCTATGCTACCGAAGGGCCCTTGTTTCTCCCCTGAAAGCTTTGCTTTACTTATGCAGGCTGGCAACCCACCAGCCTCTGCACCAATAAATTTCCCGTACTGTGTGTTCAAGACATGGAGGTGTCCTTGTCATGCCTTAAAATGCATTTTTAGAGAAATTTAGGCTTATTTGATAAGCAAATGTCTAATTTTACATGGAGTGATTGATGCTTTCTTTGTGACATTTCTCTCATTGCTTTTATGTGTAGAAGGTCCCTTCGGGGTTTTCGTTTTTACACACTTTCCTAGTTCATCCAGAATTTACTTTTTTGCTAGAATGGGATGTGAAGACACAAAGAACCAGCCAATTTCACAGTACAAAATGCTGACAGTTTATCAATTCTCCATCGATTCAGGCTTAAAAAATATACCCTTGTCTCTGTTGTACGTTGTCTTGAAGAGACACAAAGTCCAGGGCAGCTTGATGCGAGTGAGCCCAGCTGAGTGACCGTGAAGGCGATGAGCTGCTTGTGCCCAGGTTGCACATGGAGTAGTGGGTGAAGGCAGAAGCCACAGCTCCTGGTGACATAGAGTGACTGAATTCAAGGCTAGGGTTCCAGCAGTGGGCACCATTTCTGCACATACCATGCTGCTGGTAGAACTCTTACAGCTCTTTGGGCAGCAGTTCTTAAAGACCACATTGTTTTCACTAGATGGTCAGCTGGATCAGGGCAGTGCCTCTGCCTGGCAGACCGTCCCTAAGGGGTCTATGGGAACTCTGTACACTCCAGTCGCCACTGGAGAATGTTGGTTTCTGGGCTGCACCAAGTACTGGGGGCTCATTCTTCAAACACACCCATGAATTTCTCTGTTCATTCCCAGACAGGAGTCATTTCCCTCTATGACTGTGTTTTTAAGAGGAGACTAGATTATAACCAGGTATTACACCGAGATGACAGAGAACATGCAAAAAGCCTGGGACTTCATGTTAACGAAGAGGTAAGATTAAGGTATGATAGTAACATGTTATCAAAAATGTGTATGAGTATGTACCTGTGTATATATGTGCATAAACATGCAGTAGGAATGTATGCATACATAGTAATATATGTGTACATGTATATGCACCATATTGGACACACATATAATGTATGCAAATATAATGTATACATATAATGTATGTACCCATGTATACATACACATATATGTATGTACATTTATTGGTATGTGAGTATATGCCTACGTGTATATATCTATGCATACATACATGTATGTTGTGAATGCATCTATCTGTGCATATATGCACTTATGCATGCCTTTGTGACCATGTACACATTTTAACACTGTTCAGCTGCTTTGTAGAACTATTCATGGAGTGCTTCATCTGTTTTGCCACGAAGCTATTATTCCAGATCCTCTTTGGTGATGCCAGTTTTGAATGAAATTTTCAGACTGGTTTTAGGGAATTCAACAAGTTGAGGAGAGCAAAATTAAGAGGTCTTTTCAGCAGTCTTTGCCTACCCACTGAGTTCTGGCTGTCATAACTTTTCGAGGGACACTAATCTCCCAAGAGTGAAATTGTAGGGAGTATTCCTTACAAGTCTAGTCCTCAAGCCTCTGCAACCACCACAGATGGAGAGGCAGAGGCTCTGCTCTTTCTATTGTTTCTGAGAGGGAAGAGTTATCTAGCATCAGCAGCAAAGGTGAGTGACCCATAGAAGCAGCATCTCTATCATGTGAGGGGGTTCAGGGCTGGGGCAGGTGCTGTGTCAGGTGAGGGGGTTCAGGACTGGGACAGGTGGCAGGTGCTCAGGCCCATCCTTGTTTGTGTTGGGCACTTTAGCTACCTTTCTCCCTTCTGATGTGATTCTTACAATAATCAGTCAGAGGGACAGCAGGATTTTTAAAGGTCAGGTACTAAGTAAGTAGGCTATTACATAATATGTTACTTGGACATTATAAGAGTTCTGGTGGGTCCCGTGGAGCACTGGGTTTTTGCCTGTGGCTGTTATTAAGAATGTCCAGCTAGAGGTGTGGCTCCTTAGCATTCTTGAGGGCACTGGTTCTGTCCCCAGCACTAGAAAGAATGGCAGCGTGTCACTCTGAACACCCTTTTTATTTTTCATTCAAATGACATGGTCAAAGTGCTGAGGTGCTGGGGTGTTACTTCTTCCAAGGACATTGGTGTTTCCTCACTTCGTTCATGGTAGTGTGTTCTGAGTGGCACTAAGTTACTGCTTTCTGATGAGAACAGGGTGTCTCAGTGACTTGGTTTTTAAATTTAAAATATTAATTTTATTTTATGTGTATGAGTGTATTGCCTGCATATATGTAAGTGTACCTGTGTTGTGCAATGCCCTCAGAGGTCCAAAGAGGGCGTTGGATTCTCCTGGAACTGGAGTTATGGACGGTTGTTAGCTGTTGTGTGGGTGCTGGGAATTGAACCCAGGTCCTCTGCAAGAACAGCTGGTGCTCTTAACCACTGAGCCATCTCTCCAGTCCCAATATGACTTAGTTTTTGATGGTCTCCTCTCTACTGTGGGGCACAAGGGGACTAAGACAGGCTCCCCATCCTCTTAGACCTGACATTCCCACAAAGAGATAGGTAAAATGCAAAGAAACCAATCTAATACCATACAGTGATGGATGGCATACAGAGAAAGCCTTTTAAAAGAGTAGGGACCATGAAAGGGATGAGAATTGGGGAAAGGTGGGGTCAGGGAAGACTCTTGGTGACATCTGGAGACAGGTGATATGAAGCTGTCTGGCAGAGAAATGACCAGGTAGAATAAAAAGAGGAAAGTTCTGGAAGAAAGAGAGTGCTGCTCTGAGCTCTGGGGAAAGACAGGCTGGCAGGAGGTAGGCTGGGACAGAGCAGAGGAGGGAGGGGAAGGACAAGCCCTGCAGTGCCCCATGCAGTCTCCTATGACTCCTGGACAACATTAGAGAGCTCTGAGCGAGGGATTGGGGTCTGGCATGATCTGAGAAGACCCTTTGACTTCAGTGTGGAGAAGCTCATAAGCTGTGCTGGAGGCAGGTGCATCCACTCAGCCCAGCATGGTGGGACACACACAGGTTGATGCATGGCTTGTCACGTTGATGAATACTGACGACGCTGACTGCATATTTCATCTTCTCAGGAACAAGAAAGGATCGTGCCGGTGCTGGCATCTTCTGTTTATGGGAAGCGCATCAACCAGCCCATTGAGCCCCTAAACAGGGGCTATGGCCGTGTGAACCACATCCTGGCTGACTTCTACAGGAAGAATGACATTCCCAGCATCAAGGAGCCGGGCTTCGGGCACATCGCTCCAGCATGAAGCAGTCCTGTGCTTTACAGGTCCCTGCTAGCACGTGAGGCTGCCGGTGTCGGGGATGGCATCCAACCTCACTTTCCTGTCCACATCACCTGTAACTGCAGGGATGCACCTTGACCATAGGAGGATAAGCAGATGCATAGCCAAGGGAGCCTTGCCTGAGAGCCTGGCCAAACACTGGTACCCATGTTGAAAGTGTCTAGGGTAAAGATTTTTACCTGAACTTATTTCAGATTAAAAGACACTGGAGACTGATTCATTGTGTGCTTCCTCCTGATAGCAGCAGTTCAGTCGCTTTTGTCCACTGCCTCTCCACTTTCTAGAGATCCTTGGGGGGAGGCGGTCACAGTAGCAGTGTGCAACTTATTCTCTGTTACTCATGGAAACTGTTCTGCCGCCCTCAATACAAAGAGCTTTTCTGTATTTCTCCAAGAGGAGATAGAAAATAATGGCCTTTTGGGGCTGGGGAGATGGCTCAGTGGTTAAGAGCACTGGCTGCTCTTGCTGAGGACTTGGGTTTGGTTCCCAGCACCCACATGGTGGCTAACAACCAATTCCAGGGGGTCCAATGCCTTCTTCCTGACCTCCACAGGCATTGCACCACACAGGCACACCTACCTACATGCGGGCAATAGACTCATACACATAAAATAAAGATATTAAAAAAATAATGGCTGTCTGACACAACTGAATTCTAGGCAGGATCCTGTTGTTTTCCCAAGGTCTCAGCTACAGATAACTGAATTTTGCAGTTCAAAAGGCTCCTACAGAAATGGGTGGTGCACTGCTGCTCCTGCAGGGAGAAGCTGTCCAAAGTCCTAGGGACAGGCTGGACTCTGCTCTTCAGCAGACAGGGGTGGGGACAGCTCTTGATTGCTGTATTTTTTTCTTTCTGTGTTCTAAGGCCAGTCATTAAGTCTATTTGAGCCTATATTTTATCATTTTTAAAGCGAAAACCCCAAATATAGATAAGTTTGTGTGATAGAGAGCTTCCAGAGCACAGCTGTGTGCAGAGTGTGTGTATCATCACCCAGCCCCAAGTAATCGCAGCTATGAGAACCTTTGTTGTGCACCTTTTAGGCTTGAATCCAGGGCCTTTGCGCTGTGTCACTGAACTCCACCTGCACCCCATGTCTTTCGTTTTGGATAGTTTGTTTTGGGAAGCAGCTGCTTTTAACCTATGTTGGAAATGTTTACACTGTAAGAGAATTTACCACACACTTGAGCACTAAGATATCAATTAAGCTTTTAATGAATGGATCCTTTGGAGGCAACTGTCTCTCATCCACTGTGATTAAACATCTCATAGATCAGAAGTTAATGGGCAGGTGATCTAATTAATTTTGGAGCTCAATCACTGGTTTTATTGTTTTGACTCTACAAGGAGGATTCTCTAAGCACAAATGATGCTGAATTGCAGGCGATTTCAGGGTTAGTGACTCCTAAATATTTTTCTGAAAAATTATTTTCAATGTCGTTGCTTTTTTCCCCACCAAAGAAACAGAAATAGTATATTTCAGATGCTTTTGGGTACATTATGCCATATTTGAAATAATAGAAAATATATGAATGAGGGCCTGGAAAGTTGGCTCAGTGATTAAGAGCACTGGCTGCTCTTATAGAAGACCCAGGTTTGGTTCCCAGCACCCACATGGTGGCTAACAACCATCTCTAACTTCAGTTCCAGGGGATCTGATGTCTTCTTCTGGCTCTGCTGCTTTGAATGACATGGATATACTTACACACATGCAGGCAAAACACTCATACACATACAATTTTTAAAATACTAAATATATATGAATGAAATCCAGGTTATAGAAATTTGTGTAAATTGCTTTTTTTATTTTTATCGATAAAACCATACGTTGAGTGAAATAATGTCCAACCAAATTATTTTCATTTACTTCAGGTTAAACCCTACAGTTTTAACCTAATGCTTATTTTAATTTTTTTTTCTTTTGGTTGAGGGCAGGTTCTCATATAGCTCAGGCTGGCCTGAAACTCACTGAGTATCTGAGGCTACCCTTGAGCTTCCAAGATCTTGCTTCTCCTAAGTGCTAGGGTCACAGGTGTGCACCATCCCGCACAGCATATTGCTTATCTTTAAAACTCAGGGATGGAATTGGTCAAGGATTCAAGAGATCTCACATTGATTAGGTAATAAGGGAAAATTAAATGAATTTCTGTCCACCTTCCAGTGTTTACAACTTAAAGTCAGTAAATGGTTGCCGGTTAAAGTCATCTTAAGTGAAGACATTTTTTTTTTTTTTTTTGAAGATTTAATTGTGTGTGTGTCTGTCTGTCTGTCTGTGTGTCTGTGTCTGTGTGTGTCTGTGTGTGGGTTGCCCACAGGCCAGAAGGTGGTGTCTGATCCCCTGGAGCTAGTTATCTTCAGTTGTCAGCTGCTGTGGTGGGAGCTGAACTTGGGTCCTCTACAAAAGCCATTTTTTTTTTTTTTGTCCTTTTTAAGATAGGGTTTTTCTATAGCCCCAGCTAGTCTGGAACTCACTATGTAGACCAGGCTGCCCTTGAACTCACAGAGATCTGCTTGCCTCTGCCTCCTGAGTGCTGGGACTAAAGGCGTGTGCCACTACGCCTGGCTAAAACAGGGAGAGGTTTCCTGTAAGTCAAAAGGTGAAGGGCAGCTTTGAGAGAGATCTGACACAGGCCAGTGCAGGTCTCTTCCAGTCCTGTGCTTGCCTGCTTTGCTCATGAGGATGTTTTGATTGCTTGGAGATCAGGAGTGACTGCTTTGGATTTCAGGAAACAGGCAAGCTTTCTATCACAGGCTGTCCTCTGTGGAGCCATTGGACCTTGAACTTATTTGCAGCTGTTCCTTCATGTATACATGGAAGGGGATGGGTCTCAAATTGGGAGGGTCATCTGAATCACTGGGGAATTTAAAGAGGATGGAAGTTACCTGGGACTTTGTTAGCTAAAACAGAGTAGTGAGTTGGTCCAGATTTCTGCTTCGGCAGATCAGGTTTGGTCTGAGAACATGTGTTTGTAACAAGTTGCTGGAGATGCTACTGTTGCTGGCTAGGATCCTCCTTGGAGAAGGCAGGGTAGGTATAGAGCTGTGCAAGATAGATAGACTTTGACAAATGACAATAGCTATTTTCCAAATTCTATTAATGGTTCAGACTGGTAATTTAGCTCTGGTTTCTAGCCACGTGGGTTCTTTTTACCACAAACCCAAGTTTACTGTCTCCATGGGGTACTGTTTGAGGGAGCTTGGTGAATATCCAAGTGATATTTACCAGGGCAGGTGGCCTAATGCAACTTGTAAAGATGTAAGGGAGGGCCAGGCATGGTAGCACATGCCCTTAATCCAAGCACTCAGGAGGCAGAGGCAGGGGGATCTCTGTGAGACTGAGGCCAGCCTGGTCTACAGAGTTCCAGGCTAGCTGGGGCTACAGGGAGGAAGGATCCAATGGATACTTCTGCTCATTGCTACTGCAAATTATCAATGGGTCCAGTTTGAACTCACTGGAATCCTGCAGCATCCTCAGCTAGATTTCAGTTCGAGGGAAGGGCAAGGCCCTGATTGAAGTTTTTCCTTTAATTTCCATTTTGGAGATGTAAGTGTATTAAAGTCAATCCTTAGTTGCGATTGCAGGATCAAAAAATGCCTGATTGACACAGAAAATTGAAAAGGCCACGCTGCATTCACACTTGGGCGATGAAGGGTGGTTCTGAGTCTAAGTCCTAGCATAGCAGCTGTGTATGTCCTGTGACCACACTGGCAGGAGCACGCTGGGGACTGCCAAGCACTCTCACAGTCATTAGTTCATTTAATCACAAGCAGATACCATGAGCTTTCAAGGAGGAATTAGAGGAATTAAGAGATGTGTTCCAAGATACACAGCTAGTGAAAGTCAGCCGAGAGTCAAACTGGTTTTTGCTTCCTTTCCGGGCTCCTGTAATCCACTGCTCCCCAGGAGCCTGTCTGGGTTCTCTGTCTCCTACAGATGCCTGCCCTGAGCTAACAAAGGAAACCAAGTTTGCGAGATCAGGCTGTTACTTACAGACTTTTGCTTTGAAACATTTGCTCTGCCTGAATGCTCCCTTTTTCTTCTCTTGGCAAAGTATAATTTCTTTATGTTAAAAGGAAAAAAAAAAATTGCCAGGACAAGTTTTTCTAGGCCTTCTTTCTTGACAGATGTGTAAACATTGGCTCTGTGTCTTAAGCTCCTCAGACATAATAGGCAGCTTGTGGGGCTTCAGCAGCTTCTCCGGGTAGTTCAAGCTATTGTGACGCCTGATTTACAGAGCTGGTTGAAACAATTCTTATGCTGTGTGAGTCTGCAAGCCTTGGCAAGGTATTAAGCTGCACAAGAACCTAGTATGCAGAAGGGGTGCTCTGTAGCTTGTATGCAATTTTTATCGTCAAAATGTGTGCTCCTGAAAATATTCCCAAGAGATAGTAAAATTAAAACCCGGCCATTAGATACACTGAGCACGGAGTCTCATTCCAGAGGAGTCATGTCATAATTTTCTGCATCACATACCTCATCTCCATCATCATTCCTCAAGGGCATCTCGGGCTTAGCTTCTGGACTCTTTCTCAAACAATGAAGCCAAAAGGGAGAGAATGGAAAACACACTTTCATGCTGTCTGGAGTAAACCACAGGAGGAAGAAAGGAAAAGATGCAGGCACAAGAAACCAAAGTACATAAAACTTTTAATGAATTAACCTTACAAAAGACAAATGGCATCCAAACATCAGATGAGGTTGGTACAAAACTGGTCCTACGCTGTGAGGACTAATTCTGGTGATGGGTGGCAATGTGTGGCTGCCGTGAGAGACAACAGAGCAAGGTGACGAGAGCCGGGAGTCCCGGCCGAGGCCCACGGTGACCTCTGGCATTGAGACACATGGGAGAGCACAGAGGTCACTTCGGGAGACAGAATCAACTTATTCACAAATACTGTGTGTTTGAATATCAGACTAGTGGATGCAGTTGCGAGCTACCGTATTTTCCAGAAAAGAACATGCGCCAGAAGATAATATACACCCCCCAGTTTTATTGCCTTAAGAATTTGTGTTCGCCTCTCTCCTCTTTACCAGTTCTTTAAATACTTTTCTTGTCCTTTCACTTAGGAGTAAGCACAGTGCAAGTGGCAGGACGGACGATCTGGGCACATATAGACACCAAACGGTATGCCACTGGGTCAAAGGAACTAGTCTGAAGGGCTCCAGAGGACGGGACAGAGCACGTACATCAAAACAAGGGACAGAGGCTGCAGTCAAAAGTGCGTGGTACCTTCCTGGACATGTACGCTGCTTGCCAGGAACTGGGCAACTTTTCAGGATGCCACGTTGCTCTGGGAGAGGGACCGTGACATCTCTGTGTTTACAAAGTACGTCGTCAGGTTCCCCTTTCCTTTCACATTGATTATGCCTCGACATGTGCATGTGTAGCCAAGCGTCTGGAGGATGAGGCTTGTCTCTTCGGTAACCTGTAGGCCATGGGAACAGGCAGAAAATGGTTTACTTCCCAAGTCAACTCAACCCACTTTAATACAAGGTCAAAGAGCTGAGACCGTTTCCTGCTTTCTGACCTAGTGATTCCATCCCTGAGAAATTAGTAAAAAGAGTAATCTGCGGGAAAATAATTCAAGATAATGCTTAGTACTGGCTTGAAAAAAACTGGAAAAAGCCAAAAAGTCAAGTAATTTTCAAGTTTAAGAAACCCATTGTGTATGGAGGGATGACTAATACTGAAGACCTTTGAAAAAGACAATTGTATATACATACACACAGAGAAAAGGAGTTGAGTGGAGTTACCCTAAAGTGGGGAGACAATGCCTTTATTAGACACCATAGGATGGGAGAGGGGATCCTGACATCCCACCTTTATCTGAGGAGCTAATGGTAACTGATGGCTGCCCGGGGAGGGAAAGTTTTCCTCAGGGATATGGGCCCTGAGAGGCTCCTCACGCTCCCGTACACTCATGCACATACAGGTGGTACTAGGTGGACTCAGTGGGTTTAAAAGAAAAAAAAATGAATCCCTGAAGTTGGAAGGGAAAAGTGATGTGGGGAAAGAGGAGGAGTTGGAAGAGAAAGAATGGGGGTAGATTTGATGAAAATGCATACACACGTATGGACTTCTCAAACAATCAATACTAAATTAGGATTGCTACAAAAACAAGATAAAAAAGAAATCTGTGGTGTTGCTGGGACTGATGCCATGAGTGAGGTGACGGATGAACACTAAACTGATTCCTCCAAGCTTAGATCCAGAATATAGTTTCAACCACATGGAGGTGGGTGTTCACACAGATGAGACATGGAGAGAAGGGAAATCAAAACCATGTTACTGCTGGGATTTGGGCTAGTGCTCACAAACTATTATGATCGGCACTTCATGAACAGACTTTTAGACAGAAAGGAGGGAGCACCCTGAGCAGGACTTCGGCCCTGCAGTGCACACAGCTTCCAGGTGTAGTATGCACGGAGTCACCCCAAGCCAGGAGGGACCGCAGGATCTGCACCAGCATTAGCGTGCACATGGCACTCTCATCTGGTCTGAAGGTTCCTTTACTCCACTGCACTGACAGGGCTGCTAATGGAGGGAGCCCCTCTGTACTCCCCACCATATGTTGCAGCTCACTGTTTCCTGCCATGTACCCCAGGTGCCCCACACTGCTGAATTACGTGCAGGTTGATACTTCGAAGCACTGAAGCATCCTCATGGGATGGCTTCCCTTCGAGTGGAAGAGAGTGACCCTCTGTTCAGCTTTGCACCATCTCATGTAGAGCCAGTGCTGCACCAAGCTATAGGAGACCCAGCACTACACCTTCCTCGGGGGATCCAGCTGCCTATGGTTTCTCTGCGGGAGTATGAGGGGCACTTCAAGAACATGCCATTCTCTGCAGCAGAGAATTGGTGAGGCACAGGTCATCTAGCAAGGAGGCCCAGCTGGAGGAGGCCACACCTGTCAGGCCTTCAGGCCTCCATTCAGACTCCCCAAGGAGGTGAGCTGGTCTTGGGTGGAGTGGGGTTGTTTTCTAAGAGAACCCTGGCAGCGTTGCTTTGGAACCATATGAGAAAGACATGAAGAGTCTTCACCACCACCAGAGATGACACGGTTGTTCCTAGGGCAGCTAGGGGACCTGGCCATGTAGATGACATTCCTGGGTCCAGCAGGTATGGTACCCTTGAGCATCTGTGGAAACAATGCTCTAGCACTTCGGATTTGGGAATGAACACTGCCTGGTGCCTTGGTGCAGGCTGCCGGGATGCCAACCTCAACAGCAACAAGCCAGCTTCCTTGGACTCCGTTGCGAGAGGCTGAGAGAGGGCTTGAGGGCAGACACTGGCTTGGGGGCAGGGGTCAGCATCCATCGGAGCGGTCAGTACTGTGCTCATGATCACCAACAATTCTTCTAGGTCTGGGAGAAATCTGGGGGGATTGCAGGGAAGGCATCCTGTTGTTCTTTGGGTTTTATTAGAAAACATGGTGGGAACTGGGTGCTTTTAATGAAGAAGGAATGTGTTCCTCAGGCGCAGGGACAGCTTGCTAATGGCGTTGACGTTTTTCATTACTTTCTCTGTCCTCCAACCATGGAAGCATGACTATAAGGGGAACAAGAGTAGGCTACAGCCTCAGGAGGAAGCCCACCGGATGCCTGCATCAGCTTCGGACTCAGCCCAGGGAGCAACCTGCAAGCACCCTCACTTTTTCCAGCAAAGATCTGCCCTGCTTCCTCCTCAGTCAGTCTGTGGAGATGCTCTAAGTGGCTGACAGGCACCGTATCACATGGAGTGTAAAGTCAAAAGTTCCTTAGAGATACAGAAAACACTGACTCATGTTACACAGGGACTGGTAAGGGCTCACAGTCTGGGTTTTGAGGCTTACTCAAGGTTCACATAGTTGCCAGGAGATGAATAAAATATTAAAAAGAACCATCAGATCCGGAACATTCTGGGATGTAGCTGAGTGGGAAGGTGAGCCCTTGATAGGGACAAGTTCCTTCCCAGTCAAAAGAAGACCTCAGGTTGGCCAGGGATGCGCAATTTTACTACAAATATATTTAAAACTACATCGAAACCTTGGGAACATATTTGCCATTCCACATACATTATCCCAAAGTTAAAGATGATGTAAGCTAAAAATGTAACGCCAACATTCTTGATTTGTTGTTACTGTTTGTTTCTTAGATCTTTGTTCACGTATTGGCGTGAAGAGCAGCCCGTTTCCCCTCCTGCACAACAGCCCTGTGCCAGTCTCCATTTTCTCCCCAGAATACAAGGGACCGCCTTCCTTTGTGTGAGCTGTTCTCTAGCCACACCCACACCCAGTCTCCTCCTTTCACCTTCATGACCTCAGACCACCGTTCTCAACTGCCTCTATCCTGTGGGCATCACCCATGTTCAACACGGATTGTTTTCGTTTTTGAAGCCCAAGGATAATTTCACTGGAGTTTAAGAGAAAAACAACAGGGACGTAGGCTGTAAATCTCGCCAGTTGCCAGGAGACGGGAGATAGAGAAGAGAAAGGATCCAGCCACGGAGGTCGACAAGCATCCCCACGGCCAAAGGAGAGGGGGGCTTCAGAGAAAGAGCCAGGGAGCCCAGAGTACCAGGGAAAGCGGCTTAGTCTTAGGCTAGTACCTGAAAAATAGATAAAGAAAAGCAAAAGAAAAAGTTTTGCCTTTCTGAGTCCTAACTCCGGACAGAGCTGTGGTGTTCTGTGCAAGTGGCTGCAGGCATCTGCACTGAGAAGAGGCTTCTGGGAAGGAAAAGTGTATCACCAGATTAAGGGGAGAATTATTCCTCCCAACTCCTTTTGGGTAGCTCGGAATGCCAGGTCTCCGCCCAAGGCTAGGGATGAAACTTAGAACAAAGCCCACACGCCCTCATCTTTTCATACGATGATCTCAGCCCCAGGAACGGCAAAGCTGATCTTCACATTTCTAGAGCTATGAGAGAAGCAAGAGGTGAGGTTCAAAGCTTCAAGGTGTGGTGCTACTGTGCCACTCCCTCCTTGGAAGAGGCAAGCCTAAAATAATTTAGGGAAGGGGCAAGAGATCAGAGTTCCTGAACAGGTTTCGCATTTCTGGCCTCCAGCCAGGAAAGGACCAAGGACATTTCTGGCTTAGGGTCAAAACAAAAATTGAGGCTCCTATCTCTAAATTGCCTGCCCCATTTCTGTCTCCTGTCATCAGTCACCAGTTCCCTTTCAGATGAGGCTAACCCTAACTGCTGTCAGGGAATCTGGGCAATAATGATCATACTACTTACTGCTGAGTGGGGCTGTTAGGGTGGCTGTTGTACCCCTCCAGTGGGACTGTCTAGGGGACCTCGGGCATGCATCAATCATTTGCTAAGAGCCAGCTCCAGGGAGGAGAGGAAGTCCTTGACTGGGGCCTATATAGAAATGTGAGGGAGAAGCTCACCACAGTTCTTGAAAAGCAACCTTGAACCCCCTTCCCTTCCTCATCTGTTTACTCCCTACCTCCTCAATGGACACCTTCACACAGTTTCTACCCATTGTGGTCCAAGAGAATTCCTCTGTTAGGATATTATCATACAGGCAACTACATAGCTGCGATTACTGATGTGTGGCTGCTGTCTTAGACATAACCCGTGCTCCAGTGTGAGGGCACAGGGCAACTGACACGTTCCCTGCTCCAGCCAAGGGGCGTAGCTCAGTGTGAGCGGAACTAGAGAGCTAAAACAGACTCCAAGGGCCACAGCTGCCCCCTGGGTAGCCTCTCTTTCACACTCTCCCTTGGTCTGTGGTCCTTCATCCACACTGACCGTGCTCACCTGCAGCACTGGGGTAGTCTCAGCATATATCTAGAACATTTTTTTTCTTGTTATCTTTACAGCAATGTTATTCTCTTCCTAGACCGTGATTAGTGCTCTTGTAATTAGAGTTCCTTTAACCATGGCTGATACTGATGTAATGAGCAATGGGGATAGTAACATGAAATGACTTTTTTATTTTCCAGTTGTTGCTTTGATTTCTCAGATGTTCTCTCTCCCTTGTGTGGATTCCAGGGCTTTGGGGTCATTTCTAGCTCTTGAAACATCATGCTAGGCTGATTTTATTCAAGTCCTTCTTGTCTTCATCTCCTGCCACTTCTCTGTCTTCTGTCCTTCCAATTCCATACCTTACCCTTCCCAGAAAGGCAGGGCTATCTGTGATCTGAACTGTAGATCACTCTCCCTCCCAAAGTCTTTTCCCAAGTGCTGGAGTCAGAGGAGGGCATAGCACAGGGGGACCCTCCCTCCCGTGCACTCAAGGCTCTGGCCCTCACACTGCTAGGCAATCATTTCCGGATGAGGTTTTTTTTTTTAAAAAAGAAGTTCAACAGCCTTCCCATTATCAGAATGTGGTTATTGTTCCTCTGAATAGCTAATGTAGAAACTATTATTTTCCAAACAAAAAGGTTTCAGTAAATTGCAAGCTTACTTATTTAAAATTGTGTTTTCATATATTATTATTTGTTATTATACTCATGGATGATTTCCAGGAGAACCAGGGGTGGCTGAGCAGACTGAGTTACCTGTATTTTGTCCAGGACCCCGGTGCTGTCCATCCTGCTTGCCACGTTGACAGTGTTGCCCCAGATGTCATATTGTGGCTTCTGCGCTCCTATGACACCAGCGATTACAGGTCCATGGTTGATACCTGCAATGTGTCAGAGATAGCTTAGCGAGATTCAAATGGCAGCAATGTCTTAAATGGGAGAACTGCTTGAGTCCTCACTAAATGAACATTAATTCTCCAACTCATGGACTTCTCCCTTCAGAGTCTAAAGCAGTCCCATTTCACCATCTCAAAGATGCTACAGTGCTTGAGTCTGTCCACTATTCCTTCTAGATTCAGAAGTCGATCATTCAGAAGTTTATCAGCATGTTTATCAGTACAGTTAGCCTCCTTCCATAATAATGTAAGACTGGCATGCTTTAGAAAACTGGACTTTATAAAAAACTGTTTTTCTCCATTACTATAGACTTTTACGCAGGAGATAGTCATGGGACTCTTCTCCAGTAGTCAGTGCACAGTTCATGAGTTTGTTTTGTTTTGAGACAGGGTCTTGTTATGTAGCTCAGGCTGACCCCAAATCCAAAACTCTCCTGCCTCAGCCTCCCAAGTGCTGGGAACAGAGGAATGTGCTACCATGCCCAACAGAGTTAACGCTAATTTTGAAATATACTTTTTTTTTGGTCTTTTTGAGATAGGGTCTCCCTGTAGCTCCAGCTGTCCTGGAACTATGTAGACCAGGCTGGCCTTGAACTCACAGAGATCCGCCTGCCTCTGCCTCCTGAGTGCTGGGATTAAAGATGTGCGCCACCACGCCCAGCTGAAATACACTTTAAATGTCTACACTGAGCACATCCACCATTTCTGGGCCACCACTTTCAAGGAAGTGATTCTGCTGACCTCCCTCTTCCAGCACCATAAATAATACTGTGTTTCAGGTCAAGGTGTATCCTGCATAGGGGTGGGATGTGGAGATGGCACCTACTATCAGATCAACCTCTAACTAAGGGGAGCCCACTTCAGCCCACGTCAAAGGGTTGGGTGATTCCTCACCACGTGAACTCAATTCAAACACACAGACCCATAAGTGTTAAGGGACCAGAGTGGAGGAGGGTATCAAAACAGACGCTGAGATTTCCTGATCACTCACATTTTCTCCTTGATCCAGGACGCTCATCTTTCTGTGTTATTAACAAGGACATTTCTGAGGGATTTAGTTTCTGACTACATACCTGCTTAGTGATAGATTGCAGGAAAGGTTGGCTTAGAAGCTAAGTCTGAATACTATTCCATAAAACTGTGCAGCTATGAGAAAGGGGCAGAAATCCATCCTCCTTTGCTTTTGTGCTGTGCTCAATAAAACCCACTTGTACTTTAGACAGCCCAGACAATAGCTCTCAGATCTGTCACACGGGTCAGAGCACCCAGGAGTCGGAGCACCCAGGAGTCGGAGCACCCAGGAGTCGAGCACCCAGGAGTCGGAGCACCCAGGAGTCGGAGAACCCAGGAGTCAGAGCACCCAGGAGTCGGAGAACCCAGGAGTCAGAGCACCCAGGAGTCGGGTCAAGATGCTGGGCTGTCTCTGCCCTCATCCATCAGCTTTTCTTCTGGCAGTTGCAGACTCCTGCTTGGGCAGCAGCTCCCAGAGAAGGATGAGGCCTGAACTGGTTATCTCAGCTTGGTGCAGGAGTGTGCTTGATTTATGATTCTATAGTTTGGCATGCAGAACATGTTGCTACGAGCGACTCTAGCTCTTACTGGAAGCATTCATTTTTACTGGCAATATTAATCCATGTTCCTACCTGAGAACAGCCATTTGATGGTGTCCTGTACTGAGGTCAAGTAGAGGAGCTACCTCCTAGGGGAGCCTGAGGGCTTGGGTAAAAGGACTCAGAGGTGGGTTAAGCAGTTGGTTAAGCCCCCTTAGGAGCCTGAAGGGCTGACATGAAGGAAAAGTGGAGAGATGTTATTATTCAGTGGTCAGGAGGAAGCAGTCTCAACAAACACAACTTGGGGATGACTATTCACTGTTCACACTGATTTGGGAAATTCTCATATAGACCAATAAAACTACTTTGCCCAAGTCTATCTGTAGCTATGAGCTTCAAACCATATCACCACCATTTTCCTGGGTTCACACTGGTTTGCTGAGTGGTTTGCTTGCTTAATCAGCGGAAAAGGGGAGGTCTGTGGGCTTGGGAGATATAATGGCAGGGTCTTCTGTTCACTCCAATAGAAATATTTGACTGCAATCTCTGGCTCAGGATGGCTTCCCTCCACTGTGCCAGTGGGCAAGCTCAGGAAGTACAGCGGGCCCTGCTGAGGCATCAGCACTGTGCCAGTGGGCAAGCTCAGGAAGTGCAGCGGGCCCTGCTGAGGCATCAGCACTGTGACAGTGGGCAAGCTCAGGAAGTGCAGCGGGCCCTGCTGAGTCATCAGCACTGTGCCAGTGGGCAAGCTCAGAAAGTGCAGTGGGCCCTGCTGAGGCATCAGCACTGTGCAAGTCTCCAGTTAATACTTTGTTTTTACGGAGCATTAGCTATTACAGCTGTGGATTTTCCCGCGGCTTTCCTCCTCTTTTCTGCCCAGCTTCACTGTGGCAGATTCTCTCTCTCCCCTAGCATTTTGCTCCGTGCTCTATATTGGGGTTGGTTGTTTCTTTTCTAAGCCTACAGCTCATGTCTTTGGATAACGCCTGATCTGGAACAGTCCGCTTCCCGCTGCTGCCCTTCTTTGCCCTCCTACGTGACCCTGTGTTGCTACAGCTATCTGGCTACTGTGTTTCAGATTTGTGAAGATGCAGAAAGGTGCTGGGTGTCTCCAGCCCACCGTCTTCTCCTTTCTAACAACACTACTCCACTTGAACCACTTGTGACTGCCACAGAGCCATCTTGCCCCCATGTCACAGTGCAGAGTTTTTGTTCATGGATGTTTGGATAAGGTCAATCTGCCATGCAAAGAGCTTGGTCTTCAGGGAGGTGTTGATGTGGTGAAACCTTTAAGAGGAAGGACTTACCCTCACCAGAGGCCAAATGGGTGGGAGGGACCTGGTCTTGCACTTTCAGCCTCCAAAACTGAGAGCAAAGCAAGTATTTTTTCTTCATGAAGCACCCAGGGATTGTGATAGTAACAGAGGGATATTAGGAAAACTTGAGGACACCATTTCCCAAGGCGTCAAGACATGAAGCTTTGCTCTAGGGCCCAAGGGACATGTTTGACATGGACAGCATGCCTCTCAAGGTAGTGTCCTGGCCCCCTAGCCAGCCTCACTTCTGTTTGGCAGAGTCCAGATAAAGGTTCATATACACAGAGAGGTGATAGAGTACAAAGGACCACCTGCTCAGATACTGACAACCAGCAGCACATGCAGAGAAATGCATCTCATTGCCAGTGGGAGGGTTTTAAAATCCGAGTCACAAGCACAGAGAAGGAAGAAAATGGCTTCAAATATCTACGTTATCTTTTCAAGAAGTTGAAATCTATATGCAAAGAAAAGTTAAAATCCATACAGATGGAACTTGTCATAAGAACTACCCTCCTGTGGACTTTCAGCAGAAGAAAAGTATGTTGCCAAGAAAACCAAAAAATTGTCAAGAAAGTTCTTACAAATCATGAATGCCTGCAACAACCATGCATATATTATGGGGCAGCTGTATGCTGAGTTGATGGCTTCAAATGCTCATTTTTAAAAATAAGAATTGTAAAAAGCAAGTCATCATGAAACATGTTAAATATCAACTTGAAGTTTGCTAAACTTTTCTGAAATCAAGGAATTTTTTTTTTTCCAGTGAACTGAAAGTTATTGTTTTTTTTTTTTAAAGATTAAAGATTTCCATCAGATTGAAGAAAATCTGAACAGCTCACTGGGACACACATTTTGTGTTCTTGAAGGCTGCAGCTCTATGAATGTATGATTAGATTTCAGTAATTTTAATATGCATTTTGTTGTTGTGCCTTTTGAGATAGAGCCTTATGTACCCCAGACTGTCCTATGTAGTCTACAACGGGCTTGAACCCTTATCTTCCCGCCTCTGACCCTCCCCAGTGCTGGGATTTCCAGAATGTGCCACTACCCTGATTAAGATGTACCATTAAATTACATCTTTTATCTCTGAAGTCTGATTGAATGCTAGTTGATGGCAGGTCATTGGTACCTATATTAATAGAACAGCTTTCAATCCATAAGATACATATAGCCAGCAATTCTGTGCCAGGGAGACACGACCTTGGCTGGCCAGATGGGGGTCTGGGGACTAAATGCAGCTCAATGACTGCTTGGTCAGTCCCGTGCCAGCCCCTTGAGTCCAGCCAAAGGTGTGTTTCTTTCTAATTTGCACAGAAGCGCCTCTGAGGCTCACAGCTTCCTTTTGCCCTTCCATCTGCAGCCCAGCCCTGGTCCCTGAAAGATGCCTTTGTAACTGCTCCACTTCAACATCACCAGGGTCCTCAGTGATTCCGGGGCTTCATCCCTTATCCCACGTCTTTGCTACTGCGCACACACAGGTCACTTTGCACAACATACCCACGCGCAGTTTGAAGTCATTGAAGGAGTGCTTATTGATGGCATCCAATTTGGCCACCAGGGCAAATGCAAACTCCACCATGGTTCCTATGTGCATGTACTGACGTTCAGGCTCCTAGAAGAGAGCAAAGGCATCCAGACGGGTTAGAGCCACAGAATGAAAACATGTGTTAGTCATGAGTCAGCCCAAATGGAAGGCTCACACCTTCATAAGACATCGCGGAAGAATTAAATCTCATCTCGAGGAAGCATTTTATCCCAGTCCATTGTCGGTGCCAAAGCGTACTATAAGTCTCTAGAAGACATCAGCTCCAGTGTCCCAAGCACCTTCTGCAGAAAATGTCACACAGCTCGGGCATGCAGCTCATATCTCCTGTCTGCACTGTTTTACCTAGAAGGCACTAGTAGCAGCCAGCTTTGAGAAGAGCTGGCTCACTGTTCTATGACCTCCTCGCCCAGTCTTGATCCTTATTTGTGAGACTCTGGCTCAGTCAGGGGTCACTTCCTCCTTGTCTCCCTGGATTCCAGCTGGGATTGACAGTGGTCACTCCATGGAAGATCAGAGGACAGGAGGAGCTCTCTCCTCTTCCCTACACTGCAGTCCCTCTTTGAAAGAGGTCGGCTCCCACCATTAGGAGTAAGTCCGCCATTTCCTGACGGCAGCTGTCTACCCACTGCAGCTCCTTCTGGTCTAGAAGCACTCTCCCCCCTTTTGCCTATTCATGACTTGAGGGGAGCATGCTATGGGCTGAGTAATGACCCCAAGTCTTATGTGGGAGATCTAATAGCAGTCCCTCAGAATGTGACTACTTAAGCTTGGAAGTAAGTCTTTAAAGAGGTCATTTAATGAGGTCACTGGGCTGGTCCCTAATCCAACACCATGAATGTCCTTGTAAGAGCAGATCAAGGTCAGATGCACAGAGGGACAGCCATGTGAGGATACAGGAAGAGGCCACTATCCACAAGCCGAATACAGAGGCCTCAGGAGAAACCAGAACTGTAAGACAGTGCGTGGAGCCACCCAGTGTGTGATCTTTTTGCTCCTAGCCCTTGCAAACCAATATAGAAGGAATCCATTGCCCTGTCTTGTTCACCCCATTACTTGTTCTGTGAAGAGGAGAGAGTAATAGAGCCAAAGGAGGTATGTGTAAAGTTTCCAGTGGGGTTAAGTGAGAATTCTGTGCATAATTAGTATTTACAGTTAGCATTCCTGTTGCTAATTTACAGTTGTCATTAATTTGTCACACTCATTATATTTATATTTATTTTTAAAGTTCACCTTTTGTTAAGTTCTGTTTTGGGTTCTGTTTTAAAAACATTCTCTATTATACATACATGACTCATACAATATATTAATTCACATGCTCTGAACTTTCTTGCTCTTGCAATATTTAATGATTAGGTACCACAAATAGTGTCAGAAGCAGGCTGTGCTTCAGAAGGGTCAGCTGCTCAGCTTCCAGGCTGAGCTGAAAAGCAGCCTTACCCTGCTGGGCATTTGTGGCCTGGGAGGGGCCACATCTATTTTAGCTCTGAATCAGAGCTTGAGAGACTTGTATTACTTGCTAGTTAATGAGCTCCCCCAGGGAAGAGATTGTGCTCCATTAATATATGTCCCCACCAGAGAATAGTCTATGACATTGGAGGAGAAACTCTTCATAAAGATTAAGTGACTTCATTTAGGTGGGTGGGGTATAATCAAGAGCAGGTGGCCAGGAAGTGGTAGAGCAAGAACAGTTCAGGGTCTGATAGACAGTGGAAGCTTGATGCATGTCTGGGGAAGGCATGTCTAGGAAGATTAGTAATGTGTCCACTGAAGTGGGGTGGCTCCAGGGAGCACAGGAATCTACCTCAGAGGGTTGGCTCTGGGACATATCCTCAGTTGGGATACGAAGAGGTGATGAACACAGGAATATTGGGACACAGAGGAGTCGTCAGTTCGTAACAGAGGAATATGCTGAGAGGAAGCAAGGCCAGCAGAACATGAGCTTCTGTGTCTGAGACACATACTTGGTTCTGTTTGGTTCCAGGGGGATCTCAATCAGAGATGGAGAAAGATCTAGGGACAAACACAATGATCTAACTGATGCTCTGTCATGTATATTATGTTGGTAAATTGTCATGTGCTGTCTGAGCTCACCAAGAAGCTGCGTGTGGAAGCAAGGTGGGCACCCCCACTTCAGACTCAAACATGTTTATGTCAAATGTCCTCCAAAGCCCCCTGTCCTGGGGGACAGGCTGTGGCAGGCTGCTCCCACAGCTCTCTAACAGGGTGAGGGAAAAACAGCAAGCACATTAAAGACACTGTGTCCTTGAGAACAGCCAGAAGGTAAATTATTCCCAGCCAAAGTGACTATTGTTTAACCCCTACTATAAAAATGTTTGCATTGTGAAGGAGGGGACAGGAACTCGCCCCTGGGGACACTGCTCCGCACTGCAGTTGACTGTCTTACCCCCCACCCCCCATTGATTTCTGCTGGGAGGCTATAAGCCACCTTTCTGTTATCCTCTTACTTGGAAGGCCCCCCGAGGGGCCACTCCGCTCCTCCCAGGCCTCACTCAATCAGGAACTCCTGCTAATGGAGCTTTCCCAGTGATTTCCACTAGACGTCTGTAAGGCCTTGATTTGAAGGTGTTCTGTCATCTATCTGCTGATTCTGCTGCTGTTTATTATTTACTTCTTCTTGCTACGTACTTAATGAACTCACTCATTCAAAACCCAAAGCACAACAACCATAGTAGGTCATTCTCTAGGCTGTACAGAACATGGACTTGAGCCTGTTCTAAGGAGGGGAAAGAAGAAAACCAATTCTTGGGGTTCTATAGGAGTGAGGGAGCAAGAGACAGAGACAATGGAAATAAACCACACGTTCAAAATGAGAGTGAGGTGGAGAAAACCAAGGAGCCGGCAGGAACAGGACAGGAACACAAGGTTAGTCATAGAACATGCACAGCAGTTCAATATGGAAAACAGAGAGGGGCCGCAGTAAAACAGGCACTCACCTTGGCTCTACTGACATTTAGGCTAAATAATTTCTTGTTCTGGGGATGCCTTGAGCATCACACTGCATTTTTCTCTACTGCTGCCTTTACCCATGGGTGCTAATGTCACTTTCCATGTCTAGTTTAAATGACCAAAAATGTCACTTGACATTGACAAATGCTCTAAGTCAAGAACCACTGCATCAAATAATATAAACTTGAATGGACAAGAGGGATTAAGTTTCTCATTAACAGAGAAAGAGTTCATTCTTTCCTTGACTGAATATCATTCTAGAAAAAAAACAAGCCAACAAAATGGCACAATTGCCTTAAATTCTTATAAAAAATTCACGAGTGGAAAAATGAAAGATGTCTGTTGGACCTAGGAAGGAGCTGGTCAGGTAACCTTGGTGCAAATGCAGCACCACTTGTATTAGCCATCGTTACTGTTGGGTGTGTTCGGTGTGTTTGGGGGTATACATGTGGAGGCCAGACAACAATTTCCTGCAGCTGATTCTCTCCTTCCACCTTAAGAACATTCCAGGAATCGGATTCATGACACCGGGCTTGAACAGCAAGCACCTTCACCTGCTGAGCCACCTTTCCGGCCCACAGTGCCATTCTTCAAGAACAACGAGGCTTTGCACCAAAACTTGCTAATACATTTTTGTCTCCACAGATTATGAGGAACAAGGGATTCCAGGCTTGTCCATTCAGGTGGAACACGTCTTGCCTCTGAACAGAAAGCAATACATAACTAAATCAACAAGCACAATCTCATGCAGCAAAATCAAAACTGTCTACTGAGGAGGATACATTTGCTATGGGAGAAATGGTTTCATTTCCTGCTAAACTAAGGCACATGCCCCATTCCCTGACTCATTATCCACTCCAGTAAGCCTTCGTGCAGTGGGTTGAAATTGGAGGTTTTAAGTGACCTCACTAGTAAGGCAAGATTGAGCTCTGGGAGGACGGTTTAAATGCGCTGTCAATAGCTCGCATGGGCTCAGTAACTGTTATGTGCAGGCTGGGGAAGAGCTCACTTCCTTTTGAAAGGTCCTTATCACTGAGCTCTTGACAAATACTTGACGGCGGTATGAAGCAGTTATCTCTCCCATGACCTAAATAATTTCTGCCAGTTATCTTCAAACACTGAACTAATGTCCAGCAGCTCAGAGGCAACTTATTTTATGCTGGCTGGTTTGGAAATTTCACTAACAGGGAACACTGCTTAAAGTAGAGCCAAGTTTACAGAGATTTTTAAAATCCAGGTAATTATTTGATAACATTTAGCCCCAAATTAAGATGGCCCTCCTTTTTCGCAACACATCAATCACCTGCTATGTGACTATGCTCTGTGGTAGAACTTTCTGGTGTTTGGATTCCCTGCTTGGTGTCGCAGAGACTCAGGGTGTTATCTAAGCAGTCATTTCTACTTGGTGTTCCCAGAACCTCTAACCATGACTCTCAGGTCTCTGCAGGGTCATCAGACCTGCTCAGGTAAGCAGAAAGGCTGCATGCCGCTATCGATCCTCAGTTCACTCAGGACAAGGAGCTCCAAGAATGTTGCCAGAGTCAGACAAAAGCAGGCTCCGCCCCGGTCTGCAGTCACGGCTGTGTGATTTTTAGATGATGCACTTCACTTCCCTGGGCTTCGGTTTCCTCAAAACCAACCACCTCACAGGGTTGCAGTTAAGACAAGGAACTGAAACAGGCGATGCACTCAGCCTGCATCCCTAGAACTCGGGGTTTATCTAGTAGTTTCCTTAGCCATAGTGCGGAGGAGCCCATCCCCCCAGCGGATGAAAGCAGCATCTGAGAGGGTCACAGAGGTCTAAGCTTTCCACTTGAAATACACAACGTGATGGTTAACTCTGTTAACTTGACATGACCTTCAGTCACCTGGGAAGGAAGTCACAATGAGGGACTGTGTAGCTGAGGTGGGTCTGTGGGCCTGTCTGTGGGAGGCTGTCTTGATGAGTGGGCAGACCTCCCCTCTGTGGGTGGTACCATTCCCTGAGCAGGAGATCCTGGAACATATGAGAGTGGAACCATGAGATGAACAGCAGCATGGATACATTCACTCATTGCTCTCTCTGCTCTGGTCTGTGGATGTGAGGTGACCAGCTTGTT